TTAAAGTTACAGACTCATGACTTGGTGGAGTGGCAGATTTCTCAAATTTGTGTGTCTCTTTCACACATACTGAGGTCATCAGTGGGGCAAAGTGGGATGGGAATGGGAAATGCGGGATGATCAAGAAGGCGAGTCATCAGAGGTGCAAGTGGGTTCCTTGGGCTCCCTGCTTCAGCAACAATTTGATGGCTTTTGAGAGGCGCGGTCATGCACCTCAACACAAGTGCTTTCACAATCGCAATAAATGGGCGCTTGTAGACTCACCTGAAAGGTCGTTGAGGGTGAAGCGGCATCAAGCGTTGGCAATGCACCTCTCACAGAGCACAGAATGCACATCCAGCCATCTTACAGAATGCTATTTTAGCATTGTCTCAAGTTACTCCGGATGGAGGTTATGCCCCCAAACTACGCCTCACCTACAGCCCAACGCACTAACTTCTAACGTCGCGACCCACTTCCGCCCCATCTCCATTCTACACAACATAAACAAGTTTTTTTATTCTTTATTTAAAATAAAATTAAAGTAATCCAGAGGTTGTCATGGAAGGAGGAAGAGGGGACCATCATTTACATCCTCATTACAATTATATTCCTCACTTCGCATTTGTGTTGCATTGGACTGCCAGAGCAGTTTATGGGCGGTGGAGGTGGCTCACTTCAAGTGCACACTCCCGAGACAGCGTCGCCAGCATGATGCAGCCATTTTCGCACGTTCTTCCAACCCCCATTGCATCCGGTGACATCAACACCACCACACTCCATCTGGTTTACATAAATGGCATTTACGACTGGAATACCTGTTCTACCGTGTACATGGTTTACCTTTACGGGACTGGTAAGTCAACTACACCGTCCTTCAGGTTAAAGTGGACCCCAAATAACCACTTCATATTAGCTGTTGCCGGATTGGTGTTAAATAGGGGAAACGTCAAATTCACCCAGATCCTACAGCTAAAAGGAGAGGGAAAATCGTGCCCTTCGCAGGCACAATTGGAGTGGAACCAGTGGTAGACGGTACATAGGAGTTGGAACTAAGAGTTCTGGCACCCTCTTTTGGCCCAGCCTTTGCGTCGTTGTATTATTATTTGTCGTAATCAATGAAAGTGGAATTTTGCGGTAATTCTAAAACTACCACTAATGTGATGACAAACTAAGTGCCTTGGAAGGAGTTCCAGAGTCTGCGACTCCAGAAATCTCCCTGCATAAAAGGAGTGAAACGATGGTGGAAGAGAGGTGAAAACCTAGTCAAGCGGGACCTTGTCAATGAAGAGCTCAAGCTACTGAATAAGGCTATCAACCGGGGTGGGAAATTTTACCTACACCCACGCCTTTCACATGTCAACGCGCGTCAAGAAGGCTTGAACTAGAAGAACGTCGTAAATTTCCACCCAGACGTGACCTTTGCATGTGCAAGCATAAGCATGTGTGCGGAGGAGTGCAAAAGTGATTGGCTTATGAGAAGGAGGTGTTGTCTTCCTGCCTTTTCCAACCCGACTCCGCCTAGATTCTTGACCTACCTTTGTTTACCAAGCGCGGAGTTGCAAACAGCGGGGATCGAAAACAGGATGGCCTTTGAAGCTAGGATAATAGGCATTTTTCTGTATGCAACAGGGAATCTCGAATGAAGGAGCACATGTTAAATTTTCAACCATTTGAAGAATGCTTTCTGCCTTAAAAACCGTAAACCATAAGCCATATCTGAATAAAGGAAGCAGGATTGCCTCTCAATTGGTAAATTTTCATATTTTAGTGGAAAAAGTAGAATAATTAAGGCAACTAAATGGAGTATTTTTGATGGTGGTAGTGAGAGGCTGCTAACAAAGGAAAAGTGCCCTCTCCAAGCCGACATTTTTTTCACCTTTTGGAAACTGACCACCAACTTCAGTGTCTATCATCCAGAGGCGACAGACAAAGGGGCAGAGAAAGTGTGCAAAAGTCTAGCATCTTCATCTGTGTGACAGATGTGTTTGATGCTCAAACGCGATACATATTAATGGTGGAGCAAGACAACTAGAATCCATGCCATCGGATAGACGTGCTTCACAAAGCCTATTTAATGTCTCTCCACTTAGAGAGGAGTTCGAGGTTGGGCAAAAACTGATTCATCTTGACAATGACATACACTACCCTCGCGCAGATCTCAGCACCTATTGTACAAAGTGCACGCACAAACTAAAACAACTTATCACCGACATTGTTTCTGATCCGTTTTTGCTGTCATTTTTTTCCCCTGAATGATTTCGCGTAAATTTCATTCAACAGAGCAAGGCTGTATGGCTCCGATAGAGGGAGGGCATGCCCTACATTCCCAATGATAGTTGCAAAAAGTAGTCACAGCCTAGGGGACTACGGGTTTCTGTCAGAGCCTAAAGCACCGACGGTAATTTGGGTGCCCATAAGCATGCCATGTGCCTCACTGATATCGTCAGATATCCACGAAAAAGGGGTTACAAACACAACTCCGCTCATTGGGTGTTAATTTCTATTTAAGTAGTATGTGCTTCACACAATTCAATTAGAAGGAAAATAGGACGGGAATGATCCTGACCATTTTGTTAGTATGACCTGCTACAGCCTTGATAATCACTCATTCCTCATATGCCGAAATGACTTTCATGTTGTAGACCTCAGTACGATGGATATCTACATCTCGTCATTCACGCACTGGCGATGACCGATACGACGCCTTAATTAGCATAAAATCGTTTCCTTCGCCGGGCGGCGGCAGAGGTAGTGCACAAACAATCGATTATCATTAATCGAACTAAGGTTGGAGAGAGGGGGAAGGAAGAGAGACTTAACATTTTTGACTGGTTTGCTCCTTAAACACTTTGATGCAATCCCAACTTCACAGTACCCCCAAAAAAGTACCTAATTTTTTGCTGCAAATTTCGAAATGCGGGAATGGCTAATTCCCCGGATCGTCTTTGGTCAAAAGGGTGTGAAGGGCTCCTATTTAGGCGTTGCTTGCTTCATAAAGATATAAATTTGGCCAATTACGAAATTATAAAAGTTAAAAACAGCGAAAATTAATGCCATCAAAAATACTGTAAAATATTTTACTTATAAAATACAAGTAGGAAGTAGTTATGTAGGTTTAGGAGCACGAAGAAAGAAAACAATGATTTAAAATGCAATCCAATGTGGGCTTGTGTTCATATCTCTTCAAGGCCTTACTTGGCCTTGACAAGTGCAATGGTTTGCATAATTCAAAGTTAGAAGGTGTGAAATGGGCGTATCTGTCCTCAGCTTGGTAGTGCTTGAAATTTGGCGCGCCAATTCCAGATGACTTCGAAATCGGCATTCTTATGAACTTGTGACGAGGCCTCAGTCCACCAAGCACATGGTGATCATTCGGCGTGATGAGTTGATGCCTGCCCGACAAAATTACCAACGTCACTACCGTTGCCATGCTGACAGCGCAGAGAAACCGAGGTTGGGTGGGGGGAGCGGTGAGGGAGGGCGGACAAGCATAGTGTGGTGCGAGGTGCAAGTGCACCCTATTAGCCGTGACAATTGCAAGTCGATGCAAGCCATCCAAAAGGTGATGCGGGTGGATGAAGTCAACACACTCTTAGTTGGTAGGCTCGGCATTTTAGAAACAGAATAGATGCCTGGTATTTTATAAAAGGCATCCAAATTGAGACATTTTCCTTGTCGTTTTGAAAGCACATTTCTGCCCCATAATATACTTTGGTTATGTGGGTAAACAGCGCTGCTTACAGAAGGATTGATCCAAAGTTAAAAGAATGAGATCTGGGGCACCCTGCATGCTATTGCAAAGGCAATCTTTGTGCGCACATTTCAGTGAGCCTTAAAGCGGCATATATTAGAACATCGTCAAATTAGTTAGGTGCTTCATCTCTTCTCTTTGCTTCTTATTTCGAGGACGTCAACAGGAAAGCTCTCATCCCTCAGTAAATTGCTTCCAAGTTTCCTTCTTCAATTTGCTCATCAATACCTCATTCAGGAAGAACTCTTAACAATAGAGGTAAGTGTTATTTTTCAACCCTCCCGCATATTTCACAGAATGTGTACAAGATTGAGAGCTGTATGGAATTGATTTGTACCAGTGATGAGGACTCCTGAAACCACAGTCAACTTTAGCATTTTGATTTTCCAGTCTTCCCTTTTCGCCTGGGTGACGTCGGGGTATTCTTATTCTTATTCTTATTGGTTAATACCTCGTGCGGGTAGACTGGAAATAACACGACTGGGGTGAGGTCAATCCTATACTTTGGGTGGGAGGGTTGAATTACCCTGGATCTCCTTCCAGTTCATCAACGTCCGTACAAGTGCCAGCTGTACCCTTCAGCTCATACACACACGTCGACAGGTGAGACTGTCCACCTTAAAATTGTATAGCTTTGAGCTCACGGTGATTCAGCTGCATGTTACGGCTTCTTAGAGTTCATCACGTAGATGTTATCGCGCAGTAACACACGCGTCCCTTAAAAAACCCCAGCTGACGTCGCAACCCACTTCGGTCACATCTAGTCTAGACAACAGTGGTCGAAAGCGAGCATGCAGGACAGCGCAACGATAATGATTAGTTTCGTGTAAGTAAACCTACGCATTCCCTCTCGCACCTAAGACTTCAATCTCCATGGCAGAGGGCGATGGTGGAGCTGTGCCAAAGCCGTCTACTTGTACGACTTACGTGATCCCACTTCCAGTGCCGATGAGTCCGCCGAGAGACATAGTAAAGGCAGGCTCCAATCACCTATTCCAAGAGTTCTGCCTCATACTCATTGTTGAGACGATCCGACTCAGCCGCACACGATGGTCCTCACTGCTGATCAGCCGTCGTTAATGGATTTACAGAGGGAGAAATATCAAATATTCATCCCTTAAGGACTACTACGACTTCCAGATGAAATAGATGACACAAAGACAAACGAGCCCTTTATTTTCTCGACGTTCTTTTTCTACAAGCAACAGACAAAGTTAAACCACAGGGGAATCATGGGGACGAGAGAGAGAGAGGGGGAGGGAGAGTATCATCTTGCCAGAAGTGCATGCAGACCGAATGCATTCAGTAGTCGAATGCAGGTTCCGGTCAGTACCGTGCCATCACCGGTGGAGGTGGTGAACCAGGCCAATGGGATACACACAACAAGAGAGAGGAAAAGGAGGGAGAAAATGAGGAGAGCAAAGAGACAGGTGAGGAAAGCACTGACATCCAGTAGACACCTGCCAAAATTATGGTGATGATAGCGTCGCCGTCCTCGCCACCTCAATCGGCGATGGCCGCCATTTCTACTTCCGTCAGGCCAGAAAACTCCCACTAGACGATCGAAAGCGCCACCACCAGAGTCATCACTGTCGTCGTTGTCATTACCGGTGCTGATTACGTCGTCTGTAGGATAGAGGTAGCCGCGACGACGCGCCATATCCTGGAGGCGCTGACTGTTGCTACGTCCTCCAAACTCGGCCTCAATGTCGGGAGGAGGGTGAGAAGCAGAAAGGGAGAAACGGACACGCTTCTCCACTCGTGGACTATCGTGGCACACTGAAGGCAACAGATTAGTTGGCAGCACATCAAAATGCAAGTTTGGTAGAAAAAGGCATTAGTGAATGCGGTTGCGGAGCGTGAAATGATGGGATTAAAAACAAGGTCAATTCAAGAGAAGCAATAGGTTCTTCAACTAGCACCTGAATGAAGATGGAAGACAGTAATCGCTGTGCATCAAGGGAATCAATCAGGTGACCCTTCGGCTGTAATAGCTGGAGTGTCATGACTCAGATACCACTTTGGGGAGGGAAACATGATCAAGAAATGACCGCCGATGGCACACAAGAGGGATTAATGGTGTGAATATACGTAATTTCCCAGCAGACATACAACTAGGGAGCAAGAAAGACAGACAGCCTGATGTTATGCAACGATCAAACAAATACAAGAGGATAAAAAAGGAAAAGGGAGGGAGAGGGAAGGAAGAGGCAGAGCTTACCACCACCGTCATCACCGGTAGCGTCCGAGTGGACGAGTCTATCACAATCGTTGCTGCAGGAGGGACTCTTGAGGATGGAACCACGCGCCCGTCTTCGCACTGCACTCTCCTCAGGCTGAGGCTTTTGAGGTGGTTGACTCGACGATACAGAGGGAAAGATAGCTTCTAAGTCGTCGGTAGGCAAGCCTATGGAGTGGAAGAATGGGAGCACGGTTTTCGCTTCGATGCACATCTGACTATTATGACCACTATTTCCAGATCTACATGTCCTTCTACATGTAGTGTATCAGTGGAAGTGTTGCTGAACTGACACAATAATGTGCTCTCGCACCTCGAGCGATGAATATGTCTTCTGGATTCCGTGTAACGAAGGCAATCTCAAGACCTTCAAACCACGAGTTTCTAAATAGAATCAAAACCTTCCAACAAGAGAGTTGGTTACCACTTCTTTACCACTAGTCATCCAAGACCTTTCTACTTAGGCAGCAGAAGACGAAGTCATCCTTGAATTTATACCGATTCAGCTACTGAAATGGATTCAAGGCATGAAAGGGAAAAAGAGCAGGAGGTAAGGACTTTCTATCAATAACAAAAAAACAACCCAACCAACCCTCCTCATCCTGTCGAAGAGGCAGCGGGAGATCAAGATGGCGCAGAAGGGGGAGACTAAGACTGGGGATTCGGAGGAAAGAGGAGGTGGTGGTGGTAGAGGTGCCATCACCGTCGTTGACGCAGAAATCGGGTGACTCGCGGCGCTTCGACTCCTGATGGGCTCGTACTGCGAAGGCCACACCAAGTTCACGACTGGATGAGTAGACAAATACAGTCGCATGAGTCACACAAAAAAGCATTCAGTGGAGAGCCTGCCAGTCTTGAAAAGCACAATCAATTCGTAAACGCCATAAACACATTCAAATGGAGTTGAATCATGATCGACACTCACGGTTTTCAGCATCACACAGATCCTCCCCCCCTTCACGATTACACCTGCGAATACAGAGTGGATTGTAACAAACTCACAGGCCCATCTCGAGACAGAAGAGAGCGAGCGATTCGTAATTCTCGGGAGTGAAATGATTGCAGGAGTGATGATACCAAGCGGGCGGCGCTATAAAGTACTCCCCATCCCCACCTCCATCCACTTCGCTGTCCCCATTGATGTCACCGTTGCACAAAGCTGTGACGTTCTCGTTGTTGGCCAGTTCAAAGAAACCTGTCATGATGATGGTGGGAAGAACGAAGAGCAAGGGTTAGAAAGGCATTTTTACCCAAAAAACAATGTGAAATGAAGGCAATTGAAATGTAGGAAGAGGTATCGATGACCTATTAACCAATGCTTCCTTCGCAACGATGCGCGTATCACTCGTCGAGCAATGAACCAGCGTTCACTCGACCCGCCCGACCTTCCTCCCTGCGTGTTCAAATTGTCCTTTTCAGCGTCAATTTCAATAGGAGGGAGTGTCAACGAAAGCAATGAAACCTACATGTAGTGGCCTTGCTAGCCAAGTAAACTAAGACATGCGGTGGCGACACCAGAAAGTAGGAGTTTTTTTTTAATTAGACGACAAACCGACAGCGCCAGCTATTTAGGCGTTACAAATGAGTCTGGCGCCACATGGAGGCAGAGACTGGGTCCGAGGTGAACGCGGCTAATGAAAACAGATTTGGAAGAAAAAATGAGGAAATCCAAAAGTTAAGTTCGTAGTAAATTCATCAATCTGTCCATACATTCATTTGTCGACCAGTAACTTATTCAACCAAGTCGGCTATCAAAGGAAGCAAGGTTTGATGTGACCTCGGTTCTGAGGAGATGGATGACAGGTCAGATTCCACTTTCTCACTACATCCGACAGTTATGAACTGCAATAAAGCTGAGGATGAATGCATTGAGGAATTTGCAAAAGCTCAGCACTAAACCAGTGGCATAGTGAAGGATGCAGAGACCAGTTTGGTGCGTATACGCTCCGCATCACTAAGTACGCATTGCGTGGTAAACCTCAAGAGAAGGCACCGTATCATTTCTAAAGGCCTAATTAGATACCACCCAGTCCTGCCTATCGTCATTCCATGCTTGCAGCCAGTCTTTGAGAGCATCAAGTTAAAGACTACTTCAACGGACCAAGCAATTACAACGGGGCACCTTGAATTTTACAGAAAGGGAAGCAACTTCATAAAAATGTACAATTCCTTTCCCTTATTTTACCCGCCGTGATGCAATCGAAAAAGGACATCTTCCGAAGAGCCTAGGAAACGCACAAAAAGGTGATGCTTAGTCGCTAATAGCAACGATTGGAGAAAGAGGTGGAGGGCGATGAAACCTCAAAATTAACTCTGAGTAGGGCTAGGCGGCGTTTGACAGATTTTTTGAGAACATACGTGCCTTCCAAGGCAACCAAACCAACCGGCCTGTGTAGACCTTAAAGGCTCCAAGGAAACTTTCATAATTAACAGTTCTTAAGCCAAAAACGGAGTTGATGAGAGAGGGCACTGTTCCGTGATTAAATAGGAAAAGGGAACATTACAAAGAGGGCGGAAATCCTCCAGCTCTTCATTGTAATGAAAAGAGCAACTGTTGATTGGTAACCAGAAGTCGTGAAAATCTTAAATGTTAAGTGAAGAAAGTTCCACTACAGTGTAAACTATTCAAAGACGAACTCGTGTGCAATGGAATTCAAGGGGAAATGCTGAGTTAATATTTACCACTGTACCTTTCACTCTGACCGCAACTACAGACCTAAAATTAGGAAGCGATTGGCTCATTTCCAAGACCGGTAATGAACACTCGAATCCCTTCAGCTAAACAGTCCAGAACTGATGTTGATGAGATTCGACTGCTGCTAGAAGGTGCGATGCGAGACGGATGGGTGCAACGAGGGTAGACACCCTGAGAAAGCATGCTGATAAATTGAAGGTGAGCGAATTTAAAATACTCGGTCTCAATGGATATGAATGGACCAAGCTAAAACGGATTCAAGATGGACGGATGGGTCCATTCCAATACGACTTACTCTTAGAGGTGCCATTGAAGGACTCCAGCAGAGACCAGGGCAGATTGAAGCGCAGCGCTTTGGTATTGCACTTGTTCTGCAGACAATCAATCACATCGTCGGCGTCTGGCAGCATCACCGAAGTGGACGTCAAGGAGGAATATAGCAAAAACACCAGATCACAAGTGATGAGTCATGCTCGTTCTAACTACTAACAAGAATGTTTCAATACAAACACTTTCCTTATGAAGATGAGGTTACGAAAGACTGCAAAATGGAGTCCCGAATACAGTGTTTTAGCAAATAAAGCTGGCTATTTGACTGGGTGGGCTCGGGATTCCTCAAGGGAAGGCAATGAAATGGGATAGATGGTCTAATGAGTAAGTGGAAGGAGTAAATGGTTGGAGGAGCATTAAAGTCCTCCATCAAAGATAATGAAGATGTGTGGATGGAACGGCTGTTTTCGTCCCTGGAACACAATTTCGGTCACTTTCAGCACAATAAACTCGTAAATAAGAGATAAAAAGGATACACTCTGTCCTTTTGTCACTCTTAGCGCAGAAGGCCAGCTGAAAGGCAGAAAAAAGCATTAGAAAGTGACAGCAACAAAACAAGACTAGCGAGGGATGAGTATGCATTCTGAAGGTAGGAGAAAAGTTTGAGACTCTTACGTTCCCTCGATTCCAAATAGAATGGACTTGAGTGAAGGTAAATCAAGAAAAAAAAAGCGAGCACATAACCGATGCCGTTAACTTGGACCTCGACGTTTCAATCATAGGAAAAAACCACCCTCCCACCGACGCAATGGAACTTGGCGGAGGATACGGTAAAACTGTACCTTTTAGCATGAAACCAAGTTGATACACTTCGCTTGGACCCATAACCCATTATCGCGTCGCCACTACGATTGCCTGGCAAGTTAACGCTCCAGTGGCAATCCTGATGTTAGTATAAAGAAGATCACGTGACAAAAAGGAATTTGAAAAAGAACATTTCTTGCTCGCAAACAACCAAGCCTTCCTTTCACGTTTGAATCCGATCAAGGGTGAGAGACGTTTATTCCGCCAAGACCTGTCGCAAAAACATCAATTACTACAGCCCAGAAAAAACGGTTATTCCACGATGGCATCAATAAAGGTAATAACTGAATAAACTGTTTCTGCAGTAGCGAAAGGTGTGACTAAGCTCACGCTCAACCCCAGCCGGACTGTTAGATAGAAAATATACTGGGAGGGAAGAAAGAAGTCCCCACATTACATACTATGATTTGTGCCAGGAAAAACGTTCCACGTTTCACAAATTACTTCCATACTCTGAAAAAACGATATTTCACCGTTCAGACAAATACATTTAGAAGGTTCGGTCTGCAAGATGCGTCATAATTTTGATCCTGCTATGTTCCACAGCCGAGGGGTGAGCAAATCAGAGATTGAAAAAGTACGAAGCCCCAATTACCGAATTTCACACTGCTTACTTTCTTCTAAACGAGAACTCTGATACCATGGCATCAAATTTGCTTCTAAATTGCTTAAGTTTATCGACAGTAAGTCAATTCCTCCACCTTCAATGCAACACCTCTATCATCACCAAGGTTCGCCTCAACACAAACACTTCCATTATCACCAAACCTATCTATTAAAGTTTCTGTAGCTTAACAAACGGCAAAACGCAACCATCTCCTCCTCCAAACAAAACAGGGACACATTTCGCCACGCTGTTTTTGGCAGGACTTGGTATCAGCAAAGACTGTATGTAGCACTTTCCTTCTTCTCTCTCACACTTCGACTGCCTGGAAGGAGGACGTGGAAACGTCGGGGACCAATAACAAGTCCTCTAGAGGAACACCAGACATTTACGCCGGAGTACAACCGACTGTCAGCGCCAGATTCCATTTGAATAACAAATGAGCATCACACTTCAGAACACGTCCCAATACGCCATAGGGAAGCGATTTTAACATACTGACTTTGACATTAGCCCACTGCCATAGGCTATAAATAGATGACAAGTGGAAAACAAGCACGAGAGAATAAACTTTAGCGATCTTTTAGAATAAATAAACGCAGTGTGAGATGCAGGTCCGAGGAAAGTCAAAATGTTGAGTATCGTTAATTGAGTACAAACACAACCTTAACGCATCATGGATCACTTCGTATGTAATGCTATCAATCAAGCAATTGGGACGACTAATACAGCCAGACAAAGGCCATGACATTGTTGATTAATAAAAGCTGTTAATGGCCTCGTGGCGGACGCAGAAGTGAGAAATTGCCAACAAAACAGTTACTTCTTAGTGGGAATGGTAACGTTCCCAAACTACGATATTAGATATCAGAGAATTTCGAAAATCATGAGTACTTTATCTCCAAATGTTTTAATGTTAGCCATGCCATGGATAATCTACTCGTATTAAGGGACGACGTTAACTCCCAAGGCTGGGAGAGAGACATTGGAAAATGACCTCTTTGAACTTTGCCAAGGTGATGAAAGGAGGAGACCATAAGCTGGCAAAAATGATGAATAATTAGGAGTTGAGGTCCAACAGCGGTAGAGCAAACAAGTAAAGGCAACAAAGAATGCTTTGACTCTCCAAAGTGAAAACTATAAACTCGGCAGTTTACAACGCCGTCCTTAAGAGTAGTGACCGTGTATTCTTACTTCTGCTGCATTCGCCTGCACCGCAACCACGGAACGCCACAATACCGTTTAAAGGAGGCGAACCTATTGAATTAATGAAAAGTTCAAATAGTTGAGTCATTAACCAGTTGGATCCCAATACCAGCAGAATCTGTTACAAATCATTTCTGACAAAAAAGCACCATAACTAATGATGAGCATTTGCAATGTCCTCCATAATTAATGGAAAAATCATGGCCTGTTCAAATTTACAGTTAGCCATATGACCTCTTCAATCTCCGCAGTTTGCACTTTCACTCTGCGATTTTGGTCTCACGATCACTTCCAGGTTCCACAAACTCTTGAAAAAAAACAAGCAACGCCTTGTTACGCCTTTAGAAAGAAAGTGGCTGGAGAGCTAATGTATTCCAGATAGCTAATCAGCCCCTTGAAAAATTAAAATCCAAATAACCATGAAATTAACAGTAGTGAACGAAGAAATAATGTTACTGTCCGGACAGCACAGCTCTGTGCCCACAGAATGGTAATGAGTAGATTTAAGGAATTTTCGAATTATAAATGCAAAGATGAAGAATCTGCCGAAATCGCCTCGGTTTCCACTCCATTGCCACGCATTAGGTAGTGAAATTTGGCTCGAAAGAAGAGAATAGCATTTACTGTAGCAAAGCACTGGGACACCACGCCCTTCAAACTGCCACTGGATACGACTGCACAACAGAGAACCCAAAACTACTGGGACGAGACTGAAAGGAGTAACTAGAGTGGAATCAGCATTATCAGTCGGCCTGAGACTCAATTAAACTTTTGCTGTATTTTCTATGCTTGGCTTGCAACCACAGACGAGACAATTGCTCACCCAGCAACGGGGATTGGCACGAAGTTTACAAGTGACACGAATAAATGACAAGTGCACAAGACCCAGTCAAGAGCACTATGAATCTAAAACTGAAAATAAAGCCATACTTGCTTGGTCTGACGATAAATGAACAGAGAAAATTCACCAATTAGAGAGTGCAAGCCTTTCCAAATCTGTGGCCAATGAGATATTTGGTAAGAACAAATATGTAACGGGGTGGCAGCACCTACAACGTCATGCTCACCCCAATCCTCATCACCATTCTAAGCCGCAAGCCATGGGACTCATTACCCTATTTAGGGATGCCGCAAACCATGCAAATTCGCGTCACATCTTCTAAAGTAATAAGTCATCGAAAGATATGAATCCCTACATGGAAATGAAAATCATTTGCAAGGCAGAACTACAACGATTTCCCTTAGATGCAACATCTCACATCAGATTTAGCGACGCGACTTACCAGGAATAAAAACAACCTTAAACTTATCCCTTCGATCATTCTTAAAGAATGATGAAATGAATTAAACGAGGTCCTGAGACGGTCTTGCATTAAAATGGGACAAGCTTACTGAGTCCAATCTAATTTGAATGAATCCGCCGAACTACCTTTTGGATCGTTAGAATGCATGGCGACATGTTTCTCCCTCAACATAAGCATCAATTCAACGACATATGGAAATGAAGACTCACAAAGTAGAGACAAGCAGCCAAATGTGGGAAAGTGGGATTGTAGCGCAGACCCTCGAGACACTGGAGACAGAAGATTTGAGTGTTGGTTAAGTCACCGGAGACCCAAGCTATCTGGAAAGGGGAAAGAAAAAAATAGCAAAGTAATAAAACCAGAAAGGCCCAGGCTCCAACGAATGAATACCAATCAGCACATAAGCAGAAGAGTCATAGGTCAGGAACAGTTCATAATGCTGCGCGAAAGAGAAGATAAAAGGTTCAAAGGGAAGCATGTCTTGACAAGTGAATGTATGCAGACGACAGAAAACTGAAGCGCAGAATTACTGAGAGAAGAATAACATCAAATGTGCAGCCTTTACGTTGCCGATACAGTAATAAATTAAATGAATGGCAGACTTAATTGTAAGATAAGAGGGGTGTAAAATTGCACACAAAGAACTACCAAGTCCAGTGAACACAGATTCATTCACTATACCCCATTCGCCAATTAGTTAAAATATCAAGATAGAAAACACAGATACAGAGACTGCGAATAAAAAACTACAGTAGAATAGGGGAGATAAAATAATTAAGGCGCTTCGCAAGAAATAGCCTAAGAAATCAAGACAGTGGTAGTTCAGAGAAGATAAACGTCGTTTAAAGGTTCAGAAAATGCTAATTTTTGAAGGGGACAAAAACGCACGCACTACACTAAAGAACCTTGGCTAAAAGAGTACAGTGGAAGCTGTCCAAGTAAGCACTGAGCCGGTAAAGTTCAATCAAGAAATGAAAGTAGGTGCAAAGAAGATTAATAATTATAAGGACGATGATCATGCCGAGAGCGATTGATGAAAAAACGAGTTCCAACTCACAGCAGCTCTTAGAAAAACCGGACCGCATTGAATAGCAGAACTCTGAACTATGCTCATCTTAGCGCCATTCGCGGCATAATTTCCGCACACTGAATTATTTACACGCCGACAAGAGCATGAACACATCAACAAACATGCATTTAAACTCAATGTTTCTTAAAACAATTTAAGACCACCAAAAAGAATTTTATTGGAGTTTTGCCATTTAAAATATTTATATTATATTTATTTGAAACGTATGGTGACAAATTACTAAGTAGTGTTTGCGGTAATATTCACGACTGGAAGCAAATTAATCGTAAAGTCTTTCATATATTTTACCAGCATAGCCAAAGAAAAGACGCTTGGCTCCACAAATATTCGCAACAATAGCGTTAAGCTTGATTACTCAATGGAAAACTATTTAGCAGCACGTTCGACTTTTTTTAGAGGTTTAATTAAATGACGGAACATTACATTCACCTGTGAGCACCAGTTAGGATATTCGAGTCTTTTCATAAACATCTACGAACCCTGACCTGCGATCCTCGGCTGACCACCCTCAAGATCGTAGAATCAAGCAAGTGCAATACTTTTCCATACGACCATCTGATGTCTGGCGGTTACTTTGGTATTCTTCTAATGCTTGTACACGCACACCGGCCTTTGGTCCAAGCTTATGCTTGATTCCTTTGTTCCCACTGGAATACATGCGTTCAGCACCACTTAATACTTTCTACCCGGCGGGAAGTCTCAGGACCCTACAACTAGTATACCCGTCCATTGCCTCTCACTTTAGACGAGCCAAAACGCCGAATTCTTTAGACTTCCACGGCACTAGTAATATTCCCAATCAGAAAAAAAGCAGCAATGATTGCAAATCAGTCTAAAGCATTCGTCAGAATAGGCGGCACAAAATCACATTACTGTTCGCTAAAAAAGAAACATGAATGCTTAGCAACATTGGCAAAAGTGGCGATGAAGTAGACAAGTACGGAGAAGCTGCTTACAATTGTCAATGCTGGATAGTGGAATAAAGTTGACTTTTTCAGTCGAAGGGCTTGAGCAGAATCACAGCCATGCGCTTGCCAAACTTAGTTTTCCAGAGGAAGTATCAGCTTTGAAACACATGTTCTACTAGGAGTGATGGTTTAAAAATGAACTAAAATAGAAAAACTGGCGATTCATCTCGAACTTCAAACTCTGTGTTAAGGTGCAATTTGATTTGGCTCCAAAGGAGCTGATTTCAAAATCCAGTAGGGAGACCAACCGAGGGGATGAAGGTGTGTGCAGTGAAATTGCATCGCACTTCCAGGTAGCCCTAGGAGATGTCTTTGGGGATCTTCACTTCTCCTCCAGAGGCAAGATGCTTCATGGAAGGCAGTGAGATAGTAATGGTGAGTGAGGCCTCTCCTTTGCTGCCGAAGCTCTGCGTCACTCCTTCCAGTGAGCATTCCATCTCTTCATCCTGGTAGACGTCGACAATGGAAATGGTCTCACCAGCAGTCGTTGAGGATGGGTGCTGGTGGCATGGTTCTGCATCACAGGCGTCCAACAGCAGAGGACGCGAAGTTCCGATGCTGTGTTGAGTGTGAGGTGGGTGAAGGGAAAGAATGCATCACATCATCTATATCCTCACTAGATCATAAATTTTTCTCCCAACACTGATAATGAAGCTAGTCTTGGCTAACAGCAAATAGAGAAGAGTGGCAAGTTCATCAGCCAGTGATTGGCAGGGGCAAGCTTACCACTGAGGCGCGGAGTAGACAATCCCTGAGGAGATGGTTTGAGCTACCTCATCCTCTTTCGCCATCACCACCACTGGAACGGTGATAGCACTGGGAGTTTTCGAGGAGGAGGTTTTAGCGGTGTTGGTTGACTTGTGAGTGGAGTCGATAAGGAAGGAATGTTGGGTCACTGAGCATAGGCTATCAGGCTCCTCTCCTTTGCCACTGACGTTTGTGCTTGTTGATGTTGTCACTTGCATCGAGGCCTGTGGAGGCGATTTTTCCAGGTGCTCAGCGGAAAGAGACTTGGGAGGACTAAAGGTAAAGGAGTATGGAGCAATGCTGGATTAGTTGACAAGAGACTTAGTGAATTTTTGCTTTCTAATAAGTTACTCTAGTTCCGATACTCTTCCAACAGGGGAAGTCTTCAACCTTCCTTCGGAGTATTGCTGTGCCAGCTTCTCCAAGTGACGAATGGATGAATTTTTCGCTAAAATCTGGGTACGGAGTCGTTCCAATTCCTCCAAAAACTCCTTTGCTCTTGCATCATTCTCCTGAATGATTCGACGCAGACGCTTTGCCTCGTTTAACGAGTGCTCCAGCAGTCTAAGCGAAAGAAGGAGATGAAAGTTAAACAGATAGAAAATCCCTCAGGCATGGAGATCACTGTTAAACCTACTCAGCACGTTTGAACAGTCGGGATTTGAGATCCATAGCGATAGCTTTGAGTTCGGGATACTTACGTGCCTTTTCAGCCAACTCCTCACTCATTGCATGTTCTGCATTCATTGCTCGACGTCGTAGAATGCCTACCTCAGTTTGTAACATCTGGTAGTCTTGACGAAGGTGCTCCAGCTCCACTAACTTTGTCTCCAACTCAGCATTGAGTTCCTGTTCTCGGAAGACCAGAGTTTCACAGCGTTCTTCGTCTGAGAAGTAGACGTTTCCATCAATCAAAGGCACTTGGATACATCACCAAATAGGGCAAAACAAAGGTAGGTTTCATACAGAATGCATATTTAGATTGTGAGGATTCCAGGAGGTTGGAGTATTTGGAATTCATTTGCTTAATTTCGTCCTCGTAAGTCTAAAATGGGAAAATCAGATGCACCAAAGGTACTTCATAAAAGTGGAAACCAGAAAGGTTTCACGGTTTCGAATAGCCTTTTGATGTCTGAGAATTCAGATAGTTGGACTTACCTCAACCTGCTTCTCCATCTCCGCCTCCAAACTGCTGACCTTTAACTCAAAAGAGCTCGTGAGACTTCGAATTCTGTCTTCTTCTTCACGCTTCCTCTCCTCTACCGCCAACTGAATTCTGTCTTCTAAACCAGCCAAAAGGCAGTCAAAGATGGCAGTGAGGGAGAGAGGAGTTGTATCATCGAAGTTTGTGACGGCCTGCGTCCGCATCTTGCACTGTTCCAACTCACTCCGGTGATGGGAGACCTCAGTGTCCGCCTTTTCTAGGCGCTCCTGAAGACTCGTGATTGTCACCTTGGTTTGACTCAACTCTTGCAACAGACTAGCAGCTCGAGTGTTGGCTTCTGTGAGGCAGTCCTTGGTGAGTACAACGCGAAGCACATTGATTAGCGATGGGTAAGTTTTAGGTTTCTAAAGGTCTAGATATCCTGTACCAGTAGTAAAAGACAAATAGAATGATAGGGTAGCCACGGTGGTGGTACTTTGAATAGCGTCCAATCTCCAACTCCTCCAGATGGAGAAACTGAGATAGAAAAAGCAACGAGCGCAGAATAAAGAAATTTGCGAACATAAATTCTTTTCGGATTGTTCATTCCAAATCTGACTTCCATACCTTCATTACTTTACAAACACTTATAATGCCTTCGTGCCTTTGGATGACAAGATAGGTAGTAAGTATTTGTGCCTACCTCCAATTCCTCGATCCGACTGCTGCGATAACGAGCAGCGTCCTGGGAGCGCTCCAATTCATCGCGAAGTTCATCACAAGAAGTGCGGAGGTCAGCAACGGTTGTGTCGTATTGCCGACGTGCCGCACCCCACTCCTCCAACAAAAGGACATGCGCATTTTGCAGTTCCACATTCAGCACTGACAGTCGATCATACTTCGCTACGAGGGCTTCATAACCGTCCTGAGGAATTAGTCCATTCGTCTGTGAGGTCTGAGCATCCTTCTCCTAGGCAGTTGGAGTGTAGGAGAGGAGAGGTGAAATGTTATTTGTTACTTGCCAGCCTGTGATAACCATGATTGACTTAGGGACAATGAATTGGGTTGAGAGCGTATGCTGAAGGGGTGAGTAAGGTAGATGCGCTCCATTACTTTTTGAGGTAGTGGAAGTGTCCATGCCGCGTCCGTGGTGGTGAGTTTTCAGTCAGAACACACTTTGGTAGTGGCAAAAAGGCTAAGGTGTAGGAATGAGATTTGACCACCTTGAGAGTGAGGTGGGTGCTTCAGCGCAAAACAATGAAATGATGCCTTTAAACGTATGTAAGACGTTGATACTAAGTGGTGGAGAGGGAGTAATTCTGCAGAGCAGAGGTAGCGGTAGCTTGAAACGATGCTTGTCGAAATGAAAGGCACAAAATACTGACCTTTATGTTACATATAATAAGACGATGCGAATATATATCGGTGAGATCGCAAAAGAGTAATGAAAAGTTAAGATTACCGTAATAAATTACCTGCAACTCCTGTTCCATTTCGGCCTGCGATTTGCTCAGATTGGGAAGATCGGCGCTTACTTCGCGCTCCAACTCTTCCAAATTAGATTGACTGAACAGAATGGAAAGCAGTCAGACGATTTTGAGCAGCACAAACAAGGGAGCAATAATGGAAAGCTCACACTAAGGACAGCATTGAGGTATTCTGAAGTGCAATAATAAATTGCTCGACCCACTCACGACCTTTACTTGTCCACTCCAAGAAAGCTGAATGATTGTGATCGTTTGTCTCAAAAGCAGAAGCTCTTCTAGAACTTCCAGTCCCGTGCACAACTTGGGTACGGATGCATATCATCATGTCAACAAAACGGGTGAGGAGGTCGTTAACATAGTCGACAGTGATGTCATGGGAGGGTTTGGCAGGATCTAGGCAACGAAGGTGACGGTTTTTCGAGCGCATGCCTTTTTCAGCGGCTTCTCTGAATAAAAAGAGTAAAAGAGGAGGGAATAAAGTCCGATAACGAACCCAAAACCGAGTTCTAAGATGCTAGAGGTGTCTACAAGTTGGGAATGTAATATCCTCGTCGACTGATATGCACGTAGAATTAATCGAGATCTTAACTTGCAAAACAACTATTCCAGTTAAAAGGCCAGAAGGTGGAACAAGGCGACCTACTCCTCAGCGATTTCTGAAAATCCCGTATGAGCTCGGGAGATGTCGTTCAGCGTGTCATCAGAGATAGAGGATGTCCGACTTCGATTTCCCGTTCGCGTCTCCATGCGTTCCACATCGTTATCATCGCCCTCAATATCGCCATCATAATCACCATAATCATAATCATCATAATCAGGCCTGGCATCTTTGACTGGTTGTGAAGCCAAAGCCGTGAGCACTTCCGTGGCAGCTTTAAATGAAAAGTCCTCTACGGCGTCTTGGATCTTTGCAACCTGAAGGTCAAAAGGAATTTATTATTCATTTACCATTTTAGAGTCAGCAAGTGGTACATATTACAACACGGTATCCCCAAAAACCTACCGCCAACGTGACACGATCAAAGAAGATTCGATTTCGAGCCTCAATGGCAGAGACATCGGAAGACTTGATATCTTCGCGAGAAATATCAAAGGTAGCCTCACCACTCCTTTCTGTTATCGCCTCGTTATCATGGTCTTTCAAGTCCTCAATGGTTGTTATACCTGCAGTGGAGTGCGAGAAGCTTAAGACATTCTCGTCCTCTGCCTTCTTTTTATTTTCATCCTGAAGAGGCAGAACTGTAGAATGGATTCGTCGGAGATCACAACCCACTTCTACGGAGGCATTCACTAGGAGACTCCTATTAATCGTTCTACTGAGAGATAGCTACAAAGAGTTACCAAAACAGAAGCAAAAACGAAACATACCTTCATGGCTCGAATGTTGTCAAAGTGATTGAGAAGACTTTGAATGATGAGGCGGACTTCTTTTAGTCTATCCACAGAGTTAAAGGCGTCTATGGTGCAACAATCACCCTCGTCACCTCTCGACATGGGACAAAGCTCAGGTGTCTAATTTCAGTGAGGCGAAAGTAAGACGTGACGGTGAAATTTACCTCCATAACCGAGATTTCCGATTGTAAGCGCTTCAGAGCTACCTGCAACTTCTGGATGGTCTTGTCTAGTATGCCTCCGGAAATATGAAGAGGATTAACAACGTCCTGAATGGGGTCTTCAACCTCAGATGCAGGTTCTTCTGCATAAACTGTCTCCTCTATTTAAAAATAGAAAACACAACGTTAGGAATAATGCTCTTCGAGGCTAAAAAATAAATGGTTACAGTGTTAGTATAAATAGCTCAGCATAAGCATCAGATACTGAGGGAAACTAAGAATGATAACTTCGCCAGATGGGGAAAGATGTGGAATTAAGACAGACCGCAAACAGGAGGTTCGAGATGAGGATGTACGGCTTTTCTGGGTGGACTGCTGTAAGCAACGGCTTCCTGTTCCATCAGTTCAGGTCTGTCAAAATGAACGCGAACCTGTAAAAAAATAGAAAAAAATAAACTAACTGACAGCAGTTACCGCTTTATCATCGATCTCTTCTGGTTCCGTATTCTGACCAGTCATTAAATCATAAGCAGCTCTATTGCATTCCTGATGTAGCATCTAAAGGAATAAAACACACACTGAGCCTGACCTACCATGTCAAGGTTTTGGAGCTGATGAGTGTGTTCACATTTAAATATCTCTTCTTTCTCCTTAAGCTGACTTAGTTCAGAAGTCAGTGCATCACATCGACCTTGATATTCAAGCAGATCAGTTATTCGGTCTTGAAGACCCTGCACCTCTTTTCTGTAATCTCCTAAGTTCTCAGCATGTAGTGCTCGCTCTGTTAGTAGCTCTTCTGACACCTTAGCCAGTTTTGACTGATAGCCGCCCAGATCTTGCTGGCAAGTGGCTAGTTCCTTGCTCAATGAGACGTTTTTGTGCACCAAATCCTCAATTATCAATCGAGCTGCATTGTGTCGCCGCAGAAGTTCCGAATATTCTCGACTCTTTGACGAAGCAGTAAGTTCTGAAAGAGGTTTTGACGAATCAGTATTCAAATTGGACCTGATACGTGGCGAAGGAGTCGGTGAAAGATGCAACCTTGCATCGGTTTCTTGAGATTCGCCAAATAAAGGATCCGTTTCTGTTCCCACAGTTATGGCTTCTCTGCAAGAAATAGCATTGAGCTCCGTCTCAAGAAAAATAATTCTTGACCGGGCCTCAGAAAGATGTCTTTGAAGCTCCGAGATTTCACTTCAAAATATGTATCTAAGTAAGTGTTTTGACCAAGTAAATTTTTTAATATACTAAACACAAACTCACGGCTTTTGTGCACTCTCAGGTAGCAACGACTCGTCTTCCATAGCTTCGTGATCACTTTCAATTCGGAACTGAAGCGTCTTTTGGATTTGTAGTTTCTGTGACAAGTGATTATAACGCTGAATCCACTCTAGCAATGAGAAACATAAAAATAAACCAAAATATTACCGCGTTCCGAAGATTGGAACTTGGTAATTAAGTCCTCATGATCGGCTTGGAGAGATTCATTTTCAGATTTCAGGGAAGCAAGCATTTTACTACAAATCTATACCAATTTGCCGTGAGCTTACGATGCACAATTTAGCAAATGTGATTTCTCTTGTAGTTGACATGCAAGGCGAGAATTCTCGCTTTCAAGGTCTGTGATTCGCTACAAAAATAAGCTGAAATAAATCGAGTTTACGAGGGCAGGATTGCCTTTTGAATCGCTCTCATAAATTTTTCTGTAATTGTGACATAGGAGGAGGAGATTGAAGTTATCCCTTCGCAGCCTTGTGAGTTCCTCAAGAACTAGAATTTATTGACGATGCATACCTCAGTGACATCAGAATTAGCAAAATCTCTAGGCTCGTCTAGTGTATTTACACCAACTGATTCTATACTAAAGCATGTAAAAATATTGCAACAAGCGAAATTACGTATTTTCCCCGTCTCTACAGAGCTGTGAAGACAAATTCTTAAACGAGTCCATTTGCTCAAGACATACAAATCAGCATTCGTTTATTAACCTATTTTTTGCAAAATTACTAACGACTACGAGCACATGTACCACCTTTACTTTAAGCGCTTTTTCCATTCAGCGGTTTACTTGTGAAAATAAACTTCAGCGTAGTGAACTTTGACGCACATTAACAACTATCCAGGCATAACTAAATGGTTTCATATCAAGCCTCATTAGTAAAAAACACAAATGTTCAAGAATTTTCCATTTTCGGCAGGCAATGTAAGATGCTGCGCGCATATTTAAGGTATGATATAGCCTACAAATGTTTAGTTGGAATGCAGAGTCCCAAAGCATTAAAAATTTCACACAAGGAAGATTTTATGCGCTACTTATAAATCTGGTTTGCTGTACGTGTAGATTATGGTTAGCACAACGTCTCATCATATAGAATCTTCTATTCTTTTATTATACCATCTAGATATTTAAATATCTAGTTTTCCATTACAGTCTAGCGTCCCGAGACTTTCATAGGGTGAAAAAAGGTAGTAAGTGTGGCTCTATACATGTGTTTCGAAGAGAACAGAATAAATGGGCCTGAGCATGGTCCGAGGGCCAGACAAATCCTAAAGTGACCGCCGAACTTCGTGTGGTCACATGAACAACACATTATACTGCCCTCTCTTCTTTTGAGCGACGTCCTCGGCGCTCCCCTTTGCTACACCTCCCACACCAGCCATTACAACGTATTCAGTGCTAAAAGGAAGCACCCACGAGCAAACTGCACCAGTCGACAGATAGCATCAGACTGAGGAACCGTACCTGGTCTCCTCGACAGCTTCTACTGAATCTGGAGTTACGTTCGGTCTGACAACCAGATTCGAGGCCGCATATACCTGTTGACCATCAATTGCTTCCAGAAATAGATGGTGGAACTCTCGTCTGAAACATATATGTTACAGGGGAAACGGGATGAGCCACTGTCCCGTATGTAAGGAAAACCGTGGTGTCACTTCTGACACGAACCTTATCCAGATAGTTCACGTCGGTGTCGCTTCAGTTGTTAACAGCTTGTGTGTGGAACACCTTCTGCTCGACCCACTTCAGCGTTTAGTTAGTTCCTTTTAGTGTGCCTTTTGATTGGGAGGCTAACATTCCGTGAACCCTTATATTCTCGCCTTTCTGATCCCCCACCCCCTAATGCTTGGTGACTACCTTGGTACGCCTCAGGTCCTTGTATGCAAGGTTCGGCTTTCGGACTGGACTCAGACTTAATCCCTTGTTTCTTCCTAAAATGCATGCATTTAACCCAAATGAATGCTTTCTTAAACCTAGTTGGAAGAGCTGGGACGCTGAATTAGTGGCAGCGAAAAACACACCAATCTGATATATTTTGTGTCGAAATTCTATCTACTGCATCCGCTTCCAAATGTTGGAAGTGGCACTGCAGATCTCCTCATGTACGAGAATAGGTTTGATCCAGATTTCTCTTCATCATATCCGTTTCAGGCTAGAGTCTCAACATCTCGTCATGGCCTTAATTCTGACTGCCAGATCGAACACAAATTCCAGGTCCATTTGAAGCTGAGGAGAAAACCAAGTACTATACCCCAGTCTTCTGATAGTTTATAATCAAGACTGCCAGCTTGTGGGTACTTTCTTGCAGTGCCAAATATGGTGTGGTGGGTGGCGAAGGAGGTGAAACCAAGAGCAACTTCGAAGACGTTGCTTTAAAAAGAGAGGCAGTGGAACACGTTGTTTATGTGACCATCTGATGTATCACAGTTGCTTTGGCATTACTCTGGCCCTTGTAGGCATTCAGACCGAATTCAGACTTAAAACCTTTTTTTCTTCATCGGAAACATGCATTTAACCCAAAGTAATGCCTTCTTCAATCTGGTGATAAGTCACAAGATACTACAATACTGTTGCCAAATTTGGAATTTGCTGATAAGAAAGACAATTAAGCACCGATTAGTTTATCGATTATATAAAAGCGCATTGCTCCTAATACATACGCTGACCTTCGAGTCATGTCATTACACTATCGCTTTTCGTTTTACATATATACGTCTATTCAATTCTGGAGTGACGCATTTTAAAACCCAATGGAAATTTGCGGAACGACATAGAGATATTTTCTTATTTGTAGCGGAGGATGTGTATCTAATCAAATATTCCTTGATGTAAATGAGGAACCCGGTAACTTCCCATTAAGTAGGAGAAGGGCCTTAGTTGGGCGGAATACATGTATTCTAAGAAGATAAGAAGGGCTAGCCTACGGGCAAGAGGATAAGAATGTAATGTTTGTTTGTGTCACTACCTGACGTTCGGCGGTCACTTTAGGATTTGTCTGACCTTTGGGCTCGTGAGCTGGCCTCAGGCCACTCTTGGGCCCAATTGCTTTGTCCTCTTTGGAATACATGTATCCAGCTTCACTTACTGCCTTCTTCTACCGTGTGGGAAATCTCGAGACGCTACAAAGAGAAATGCCAAATGACCACCAGACAGAAAGTGGTCGCATAAACAAAGCATTACAAGCCGAGTATTTTAGCGAAAGCTTAAGTCTAACCCACACTGTAAAGACAAAGTGAACATCAACGGCATCGTTAGTCATATAGGTGGAGGAGTAAATCGAACATTACTTTTATGCACCCGAATTTTTAAAAGCTGTACTTAAGACGTTAACCTTCTAACCCCAGAAAGCTGTAAGCGCCTGTAGAGCCCCCAGACATCCCATTAGGTAGAAGGCATTATTTTGGGTAAAAAAGAGTTTTAAAAGAAATAGCATAGACTAGACTTTGAGTAGCGTGCGTGAGTAAAAAAAGATCGGAATTAAAACATTACAGCGCCATTTTCCGGTAGCTTTTATTACACATGTCCTGCATGCGAAGCCAACTAAAGCTCACTGAAATCACCAGGTTCCTGGAGAATTAGCCTAGAGGAATCCTAACAATAGTGGTGGATAAGTTGAATTTTCAATAGACGACTTGTGCCCGCGTTCTCTGAGGTGGGATAACTGAACTTCGAGCTATTCCAATAACTTCAAATGCTTCCTCCCAAAGTAATCAATGAAAAGATGCTAAAGATGCTAAGCAAAATAACTTCTTAATACATTTTAACAGAGAATATAGTACAAATGTAAGTGAGTGTGCTCACAGTTAGTACACAAGTATAATGGGGAAAATTAACCATCTTTTGCAAATCATCCCCAAGAGGCTGAAGTGCAATTTATTGATTTTGCAAAAATCATTTGTAATTTTTTGCGGGGCTTAAAAATAAATGGGTAAAAATTTGATGGTTTATATGCTTCCGGAGTTGTTTGAAAGATCGAGGCTCTTCACAAGGTCATAACCTGCAAGGGGACGTTGGTTGGACGTGTGGAGGAGGGGCTATTCAGGTTTTTCGTGTTCAGTAAGAGGTTTTCTTGAGTACTCATATAATTTTGGCCCTTCTTTTTGCTTTTTGTCTTCTGATACTCATCGATCCCCACATTTTAGCTATTTAATGGAACTGCCAGATTTCACCAGCCTTTGGGAGGCCAGTAATACGTTACAGAAATTACAAGAAAGTCTCCTCAAGGAATCCTTGCCTAAAATCCAAGGAGGCAATCAAAAAGTAAGCCATAGTTATCCGCAATTCCTACTATATGGTAATTTTACCAGCCTTTTTTGCTAAAGCTTATTTATATCGGCTTTGTATAGTGGTCCAATGAGTCTAATCAGAGGGCTTCACTCTATATACTCTAGATTTTTCTGTTGACATTTTCTCTTGGTGCTGCTTTCGTCTCTTTCCTATCAAGTCTATTGGTATCCGATCCCTCTATTCTTTGTAGTATCACCTTTGCTACATGAATGTCTTATGGATTTTATTATGAACTGTGAACTTAAAACGGAATACTATGTAAATACTCTGTGGCGCATCACATTTCTACGAATCGAATGGAAATCACACTAGGCTCTGTGAAATACTTCGGAGCACCATTCTTGCAAAGGATGTCGACTTCTGTGGCAACATTTCTGCTGCCTTTTATTGCACCGTTTTCAGGTTATCATGGTGTTTTGCTATGGATCTTTAATGTTATGTTTTTAAAGTTCAATTTATCGTTGGCGAACCATTATTTCTCGTTCACCATTGCATGGAACAATACATCTTTAGCTCCCGAGATTTATTTTATCCTGTTAGTTGTACTTTTTTACCATTCATGGTTTAGTAATGATAGTCAACAAAATACATTACACTTTTTTCCTTACAAGTTTCGATTTAAGTGTCTGTACTTTATCTTTCCTTGTTCCCATTTGCCTCAGTTTCAAATCCATGTTTGTTTAACTTGATGCTAGTCATTTGAATGAATGCTCCGATTCTTTGTTTAATCAAGATAACCAGACGCTTCGGTAGTAGTTGAGGCCATCTATGCACATTCCATACTCTCTAGTAGAACTAGCATCAAAGAATGAGGTGACGACTCATTTGGCGTACCGATTTTTTAAAGGACAGTTTCTCATTTGTGATGCTGATAGTAATCCACAATAGCTTTTAAGTCGCTGGCGTATAGCCTTCCCAACTTTCAGAAGGAAAACAACCTAATGAGTAAGCCTACACTAGTACTCTGATGGCGACTAAAATGTTTAAACACTACTTTTCGTGACGAAGGAGGACACTTAGTCTTCTTTGAGCATTGCTTCAGCACCATCTGATCAACACATCTTAGGCTTGGAATCGGTAGGAATGAACTGTCCCAGTTCTTCACAAGGGCTCTTATAAAAGTTATGAAGCTCTGACTTGCTGTGTGTACCTCCTCTCCTACTACACCCATAAACGCTGCTCTACCTAATGTTGCAGATCTGGTGCGTAAGGCTAACTTCTGCCCAAATGATTAGGTTGTACTTTAGTATTTTTTTGTGGTTAGTGTTTAAATTTTTATTGTTCCTTGAATTGGATGTGTTTTGGGAAGGCTGTCGAATACTTTACTCAGTTATCATGCTTAAACACGGAAATAGAGAGGGATGAACGTTCTCTAAAGCCCTTGAAGCTTAAATTTTAGGATTGGCATTAATATGTAAGCTCTTTACTAAGTACTTTTTGCAGAAGAGGATGGAAGGAGTATACGAACCTTATTTTACGCAGTCCACTTTTCATGCTTCTTCTCTCTAGTACCGAAGACGCGATCCCGAATCGTGCCATAACTACTACAGCGACGGTATCTGTGGTGTTTCCTTCGGCATCGCAGAGCCTGAGTTTGCCAATCCCTTAGCGACGTGTTGTCAGCAGCACTTCTTCACTGCTGCGGAATTTAACCGCCATACCACAGAGCACATCGTTTGTCCAGGTGTGCCTGGGACGGAGGACAGTAGCTGCGGTCGTAGTATTCACCCTACTGCCATTGCCTTTCACCTGGAGACAGAGCATGCCATCGCCAACTCGACAACAGACGCCAGGAGGCATGACGAACAAAGCGATCCTGCTCTCAAGAGGTGGCGTGAAGCAAGACGCAGGTGGGATTGCTATCTCTTGGTTCGATTGCATTTTATTTGAGGACAATTTTCAATCCCCTGTTTTTAATTGTACTGTAGAAACTATCCGACATTTGAACGCGTCCAAGCAAAGATTCGCGAAGTGGGCTACCGCATTGATCGCGGGCAAGTGCTACTGACTCGAAAATTCGGGTAAGCGTGAAGTCCTCTTGGGGTGTTGGACTGAATGTCTGTCTGTCCATTTTTCGATACATATCGTTGATTTTTTAAAAAAATTTGCTTCCAATCTTCTGGTTGATTGACAGTTGAAAAAGGTGGCTGTCATCTGATGATGTATGCTTTTGGATTCAACTGCGAGGGCATTTTACAGCTTGATGGTGTTGTCCATAATCTGACTTTCGATTGGCAAGCCCAATCCTGGTGGGCTTATTTGCGATCACACTTCATAGAGTAACGAATAGGCCTTAACCCACAGGGGCAAGGAATAATGGAACAGTTTCATCTTCCTTATCCCTCACTATCAACTCCCTTTAAAACCCTTCAGTTCTCTGAACTCACGAAAGCCTCAGGAATTGAAAAAGCCGCGGGATGAAAACAGCAAGAGACCAAAGCTGGAGACTAACTGTGCTGAAACCCTTCCTTCAGTAGAACAGGTATATTCACCATTGTTTACTTTCAGCTCCAGCATGATTCCTTGAACATTCATTCCTTTCCAATTCCTTCGTTGAAGAAACAACCCCAGCCTCTACGTTCGGTAAGCAGCGGCCCTCTTGTGATTAGTCCATTTTGAATCCTTGTTTACACTGGTTCATGCTAATATGCTGTTACTTTTTGTCAAAGAGCGTGAAGGTGGAATCGTGTTCTGGTGGTTCGCTCGTGTCCCACACGCATAAGCCAGCAATTAATGAAGACCATGTTGAAGAGCCAGCAAGTTTATCACGCAGTTGTAACTTTTTCATTCTACCCAGTCTTCTTTAGTAGTCAACACGGGGCATCCCTCTTTAGGAAGGAACACCTGAAGGTGTGGCGGACTTGCCAACGGTACAAGACGAGGAGGCTACTTCTATGCATCCCGCCGCGCCTCCACTTGTTAGTTACGACAGCGATGCTAGTTGGTCCGAACGGTTGGAAGAGGCAGACGAGATTAAGACTCCTACGGTTTGTTGTTTTGTTGGTCCTGTTCGATTTTCTAACAGTCTGGATCGGTTTACCAAGTAGTTGTTTTTGTTGTAGACCTTGCTTACGAAGAAAACGCTTCTCGAGCAACTTGAAACCGTTCATCCGAAAAATGTGCAAGAGAAAGACGCTGACGGAGACACTCAAGGCACACTTGCCACCAACAGTAAACCTAAATTTCCAGCTTCAGAAAGATGCCGAAACAGCCGCTCCAATCGAGAAAAACGAGGAGGGCGGAGGAGAGAACGACGAAATCGGCCAAAGAGAGATGTAGAGGATGGGGCTGCTCCGACAGCATCCACAGAAGCGGATGATGAGGAGTTGGAAATCGATGAGGTGTCCGCGAGGGGCGGAGTTAAAGCGTTTGCTGCTCATCCCCTCGTTCAGATGTTCGCTAAACGCCGTAACTGCATGCGACACGCTTCGTTGATTAGTAAGAGGCCCACCCTGCTGCAGATGGTACGTCGGAAGTTTTAAATCTTGTCGTTCCCTAGTTTTCTTTGGAATGAAAGTCTTCATCCTTATCTCCCCCACTTCCTTTTAGCTGCTTGCTGAGGAAATGCGGCATGAGAGGAACCAGCTAATGCAGTGTGTGCGTTTTGTCGTAAAAAATAACTTCTTCCTCCCTAAATGAAGAAATCCTCTTTGCAAATTGAGTAAACCTATCTGTACAGTTCTGCGTTCTTGATACATTTGGATTTCCGCCTGAGGGATAGCAGATGCACCAGGGATCGTGAAGTGGTGTTTGGACAGGTTGTCTGTCCATTACTTAAATACTTAGAGACTTAATAAACTTTGAGACAGCCGATTTTAACAGCTCTGTCTTGGTGTCAAAGACTTCCACATTGATCCCGTAAGGATGAGAATCGCTACTTGGGTAGATTGATATCACACCCAAATCATTTCGGATGACTCATTATCTGCACATCACTTGTTTACCAATAAGACCTTGGACTGCAAATTTGTGAAAACGACCAACATAAGGTTAAACACTACTGCGCCTGGAGGGGGTCGTGTGATCGCGCTAGACTGATAGTGATTTAGCTTTCCATCAGACCGCCCTAAGCGCGAGTATCACTTTCATGAAATCACGTGTAAGCGACCAGACTCTGCAGCAAAGAGCTGCATTTCTCCGACCGATACTAAACTCCCCAACTAATGTAAAAGTTCAGCTCTAACACTCCAATCGACGTAGAGTATATTTGCTGTACTGATAAAATTATTTGAACCCCTGAGTAAAACGGCGAGAGGACAATGAGGCAGCAATACAACGACAGAAGCAATGAACTGGATGTCATCGCATCACTCCAAGGACTGTCGAGATGAGTAAGCCTCTGATACAGGTATATTCTGAAAAGAAACTAAAGCTTATATTAGCAGGTGGTGTCACAATTCATATCCCAAGCAGCCTGCGCGATCACGACGACAGACATCAAGTTTAGACTGCAGTATGAGGTACACCGACGGACACGTTGGTCCAGACTCGTCATCTTTATCGGCAGAAGTTGGTTCGTAGACAAAAGGGAGAGAATCCATGCTAACACACCCAAAAAGGTTTAACCCTCCATCTGCAACGTGGACAGCAACGAAAAGCGTGATCACACAATGAAAAATCAACCTACTCACACAACAATTAGCGAACTAACGGGATGCTTCTAGGAGATAAACTCGAATTCCAGGCGCTTCTGAAACCACATACCCAGTTAACCAGCTCAGCAAAATGGAAAAGAAGAAGTGCAACATCAGGCCAAGCCTCTTCCCGATAGTTGAAAGGAATATGCATTAAAAACGAAAAAGGTTTTGAGGGAGGAAAGGAAGCCATGTTACGCAGAATGTCAAATAGCAACCACAAAAAGACATTTCCAGTCATATTCATTTCACAGTCCCATACAGTTCCGACATTGGCAAATGTACAGTGCTGACGAACAGCTACATCTCAAATGGTTATTACCACAAGAAATCTACACGACATTTAGAATGTATTTGAAATTCGCGAACTTGAGCCGATTGAAGTGAACAGTGAAAAACATTTCAAGGGCATATTATTTTGTTGGTCTACATTCAATCGAGCAAGTAAAAAGAGAGTTTGATTCTGTAACTACGTAACATCAAATTCTCCTTTTATTTGAAATTGATATCAAATCATCTGAGTTTCACCTCTTTGTTGTCACTAATAAGTTTGCAGGTATGCAAGTCGCGCATAGTTGTAAAGTTATTCATTCGTGAACTTTAAGATTAAAGACTCATGTTCTTCCCACGTGTAGGTGGTGAGCATGGCCGATTACTTTTATTCGGAAGTGTGGCTGTGGCTTCCTGGAATGATTGTCAATCACAAAAGTAGTCAAATGAACAGAGCCGTACGTAGAGTTCATCTTCTTCAGAGCGACGACCTAGATGCATTCCTTGCTCCACCTCCTGCGCTAGCAATCACAATGTGTCCCAAGTTGCAAAGGAACACTTTTGCGAACCAGACGCATTGGCCATCAGCTGCTATTGGACTGAAGGAATGCATCCCGCCATCTCAGCAGCCTAAGTTGAATCTGGAGTTATCTTTTATCTGAAAGCACTAATAGTGGGAAGGGAGTTCTGCTGACTTTAGTTGTATCCAGAGCTAAAACACTATTGCTTTTTTTTATGTGACCCTCTGGCGTTTGACGGTCACTTTAGGATTTGTCTTTCCGGCGTACACGGGGCCTGGCCTTCGGACCATGCTCAGGCTCATTTGTCCTGCCGTCTTCGGAATACATGTATCCAGCTGCACTTGCTGACTTCTTATACCGGCCAGGAGGTCTCGGGACGCCACAGAGGCATTGGAACCCTAGCTTTGAGGATTATTATAAAGACGATGCCAAAATAAAGTTTGCTTTTTGCTGTCAAAGCGTTGAAATTCAAGACTTTCCACTTCGTAAAAGGCACTAATTCTGGCTGAAGGAAAAGCTGTTGGCTTTGACCCATACAGTAAGGAACAATGTGGATACAAAAGTGACTGGTAGACACGTAAGTGGTCCAGCAAACAAATTATCATAGGGGTGACTGCTAAATTTTCTTTGATATGAGGAGTAAAATCAGCTTCTTCCCCTAATGTCGCCATTCGGATAATGTCCACTGCCATATCCTAAACATCAAGCTCATTCGTATCACCCACAACGTCACAAAAACCGTCCTCATGTCGAAGGAGAAAACCGAATTGATTTGCTTAGATGACCCACAAACACGCACCTATAAGAAGTGATTGCAGGAGAAAGGAATGAGTGAGATGTGAGTAGTGGTAATGAGCTTCACGATAGTCGTGTCAAAGCAGGAGCATGCATATGAATTGGCAGCAAATACAACCTTGATTGTGTGACACTTTCCCAAAGTGTGATCATGCAAAGAGCGCCAAGCCGACGGACAAATGAGGAGAGAGTCACATTGTTTAATTTGATTGACGAATTCCATTACAGACACAAAACCTGTGCCACATGAGTTTGATGCAGACACTGGACTGTTATCAGCCTCCCTCAACAGAATTCGAATTTTGCAGTCCGCCTTAATGCTAGAGGAGGATTGTATACCAATAATGGTGCCCACGGAAGCTTCAGCGACGCAGCCGAATGGACTAGCGGCATTACCGACAAGCTCTTAGTAAGCAGCTTGAAGTTCTCAGCATTCCATCCCTAATGCATCAACTTGCTTGTATCCACGTACAGCACTACGGCAACGGCACGACTTTAACCTATTTCCCTATTTGGAAGTTTTCTGTGCCTTCCTTGTTCTTCATTTCCGTCTTACAGCACACACATAGTCTTACCAATGCTTCTTCTATGCCCTCCCCTCCCTTTTGCGTAGCACGCGCAAGCTACAAACAAAACCAAATTGACATTAAACTATGAGTTCTATGAAAAGCAAAATTCATTTCTTTTGACCGATTCTAAAAGAGCGGTAACGCCTGCAGTGGTTTAGGCAGTATGAAGAATAGGGCGAAGTAAAGCAAGTGAAAAGAGATGAGAATGAAACACAAATCATGAAAAGGTGGCAGAGGAGGTCGACTGGTGGAAGAGGTGTGACTGCTAAATTCACACAGAGTGGAGGAGGGCAATCACGAAGGTGACACAAAAGCAGCATCGAATCGAGAGATGAAGAAGGAGGTGTTGAGCCGCAGCTAAAGGTAAAAAAACGAATTCCTAATTTACACACTTAATTATCAAATGTGGAATAAATGGAGAAGAAACAAGTGGAAGAGAGGGAAAGAGACAGAGAGCATCACTCACACAATCCTTCGCCGTCCACAGTGTTGTTGCATTGCTCCGCGCCCATCCGTCTGTTGTCTGCATTTCTGCCGTTCTTGGACGGTGCTGCCAAGGCTGCTGTGGTCTGAAGGCATTGAAGGACGATCAGTGTCAGCGCTAGCATGAGAGGCATCCCGTGGACGGCCGGGCGAGGTGGCGGGGGGATCTGATGGTAACGTGACGTCGCCAATGTGACCTTGTCAGACGGCCTTCGCACTCATCGCCAGGGCAAAACGATGGGAATGGAGAGGAGCAACCTGCGTCTATATGTTGCTGCTATGTCCACTGCAGACAAGTAGCATGAAGGTAGTCTAGCTGCTTGGTCTTGCTTTGAGTCCCGCCATTTGCTTTCACGTCGCAAGAAATTGTCCGCTCACATCGATGGAAGCTTGAATTTTGGAGGGATAAGACGAAAAAATGCGATCGAGGCGAGTTGTACCGCGTTGCTATCTTGCAGTGTTTGTGCTAGTCCGTTTTAGCCGTGTATTTTAAATTGAGCGCTTTGCTTCTCTTTTCAAACGACCAAGCTATGAAACACACAAAACATGTGCCTTTGCGATGCTGAAAAGGGCAAGCAGACTGCACTATTTTCGTCCAAAACCGCATATTGAGATTGGGAACTCGGAGCCAGACACTGGAAATGCGCTGTTGATTGACGAGGACACAATTTGAGATGTCCATTTCCTGTCCACATCTTACGAATTACCACGTGCCTTGCGAGTGGACAAAATGGAAAGGAACAAGACGGCGTTGGAGAAGCGGCTTCAAGTGTGGCACCACCGCAAGGACTCCTAAATTAACCAGTTTGCCATTGCCTCTTCCATCACTGTCACAAAGTTCTCTTCACAACGTTTACGAATGTCAACTTCGACAACTCATGACACGATTTGAACAACGCTAAAGTCCATGAGTTTCGAACGGAACAAACAATAAGTTTGCACTTATCGACATGTCCAAACGCGTGTTGCCTTCATGGATCCGCTCTTGCGTCAGATCTGGGAATGCGTAATTGACCGCAATGTGGACGTTTGTTGCGAAAGGTAGGGCATTGAGGTGGGGATTGAATCCCGCCGAACACACGCTGATGTGGCCTTTGCCCTAAACTGAAAATAACTACAAGCATAAACGTCTTTGAGAGGATCGTTCGCCTCGTCAGGCGCACCTATTGCTTCGGTATTGGAGCAGTGCTGCAAGCACATTGGTGAAGTTTACGGAGTCATTTACACTCAGCATCTGGTGACAATAACGGCGATTGCAGTGAGACGCTAAACGTCAGGAGTTAAGCAACGAGGTTGAGACATTGTTGTGGTGCTTTCTTTGTTCGGCTGCCTCTTTAAGTGGTGGCCGGGTGAATTGACGATCGGGCCATGCCGAATTTGCAACTCCCACCCTTTAGCCTCTTGAAGATGCACGTATTTAGTCAGGCAAAAGGTCAGCGTTGAAATAAGTATCCCTTATCGTCTCTACCATACTTTGTTTCTCATGATTCGTTTATAAAAGTCAATGCTAAAGGAGGGCTGATTTCCGAGAAGTCTGGTAATTGGGAGTCAGAAGACAGTGACGACGAGGTAACGCTACTTGGACAGAAACCGGTGACACCAGTCTAGAGCCTCTGCCATCTTCTGTGCAGCCACGCAACTCAGTTGCTGGTGAAAGTCTTGTAGGGCTATTCGCATCAGCTGGAAGTTTGGAACACTAACCTTCGCTTCTCAGAGACAGCTATATCTCCTTCAACGCTTCGCTTAACGAGTCCAACATCCCACTAGTACACTTACAAGAGGATATTCGAACTCTGCGTACTTCTCTAGTGATGGTTGGAAAGCTCACTCAACAACACGATACTCACCACAGCTCCATCCGGTTTCCGTGGGATGGTACATCCGCATTACCATGTACGCCTCCTCTCCTGTACTGAACCGTTGCGACGTAGAGCTGCAGCTTCCAGTATCAGCAGGCACTTGGGCTGTCGATTTTCTGCAATCCTTTCGGTCATGTCAGCGTCTCATGTCCAAATGCACTACGAAGTGTTTAACCACCAAGTGGTGCTTGGAATGCCTCATCATTGTTTCTGTAGCAAACGACTCACGTTTCGTTACACTGTTCTGTAGCTGACGTAGGGGATGACGCTGATCCTGCATCTTTGGCCCTACTGGCGTTGACCATTCTCGAACTTGCTATGTACAGCCGTCCGAGGCCGCTATCCCATCGACTGAACCGTTCAGGAAATTGGCTTAACTTTGAAGAAAGCATCGTTTTCTCAAATTCTCGAAGGAAAGAATGACACCGAGGTCGCACAACCCCATCTACATCACTTTTCATAAGAAGCTAGAGGATCGTAAAGTACAAATGGAATTAACATGAAAGAGTTGGTGTTATGATTCCATCAACAATTGCTGCAGCTAAAAGGAGACTGTCGATAACGCCTGCGTCGTTTTCGAGGGGAGAGGACAAAGCATATGGCATTGAGATTTGTTGGACGATGTATCCACCACGAAATTAATGATCACTTGAGGCTTGTGTAAGAAAATAGCCTCTTATATAACATCGCAGGATAACATAGGCCATAGCATAAAATCTACCCTTCTTGCCTGCCTGACCTTCTGTGGGACCTTTAAGTCTACCTAGACCTCTTTTCCCTTCGCGGGACGTAAAATTATCGATTAGGAAGAAACTTGAATCGCATGGAAGGGCTTTGGAAAGTCCTTCGGATTTAGTAATTACATAGTCACACCTGAGTCAAGAGGGCAAATGAACAGGGGAACTCCAATGTTTCCAAGGCCTCACATAAATGCATGAAATCTATGCGGAAGCTGACAGGGAAATAAGAAGAGACGCTTGCCAAATTTTTTTTCGCGGCGGATTTCGACCCACCATAGGCATGAAGAGGAATAGTTAAGGTTAAAAGTTCAATCGTTTTTCGGCCAAGGAGGCGATAGTTTGTCGGAATCTGTATCTTACTAGTGATTATGAGTTCATCCTCCAAGAAATGAGAAAAAACCATCCTAAGATAGACGGTCATTCACGAAGAAAGACAGCTAGCCGTGTTCAGCTAGAAGCTAGAGAATTCCAACAAACGCTTCATGACCCCAACAACTTTTAATGGCATTAAAAGAAGTCATTCAAAGAACTATGAGGACCTAATACATCTGTGGCTGTGCGAAAAAATCAGGAGTAACATTGTAAACGTAAAAGAATGTTCTTTATTTCTGTATTTTGCGATCACAAGTAAGTCCTTGAATACTATTTTGAAATTAGGAAAGGAGAGAATCACAGTTGCTGCAGTCAATTGTAACATAAGTGTTATGATACGTATACTAACTTGTCTAAGTTTCCCTCACAGGATGGAGGTGGTTGGTCAAATCAAACGCGAATCCCGTGCTTTAAAAACGGGAGGAGCCTTCCGGGATGTAACGGCGGATCGTCATCTCCTCCATACCCGTGCTCCTTTCTATTCTGCAAGGGATGCCTAATAAACCGTCTCTAAACACTCCTGTTATGAAGCCAAAGAGTAGGCTCGGAGACTCTACAAATTTTATTGCAAAATAATGAAGGCCAACTGACGAAAAATGGGGGTGCGTATTGCCCAAAGAAGACCAGGACAACCAATTGCACGGGAGTTCGACGGAAACAAACTCCCGCCCCTTATCTACAAGATAACTTTTAGCATAACATAAGGCTAGCATTTGTTGCTTTCAAAGGGTGCAAGCCTTTGTACACTTTTGAGCGGATGTATCCATTTAACAGCAAACTTTTGAATAGAGATTCGATATTTTTAGATGATAATAATAGTTATAACCCTTTGTTTATGTGGAAATATGGTGACCAACAATAGCTTTGGTGCTTATCTTGCGGTTGTACTCGAGGACTGCAAACTAGACCAAGACAAAGTTAATTTACTTCTTCTTCTTACAAATCCATGTATCTAACCCGGGTTAATGCCTGATTCTACGTAGTTGAAGGTCTCGATGCCTAGCACTAATGACAGTGGAAAGTAAACCCCACATTTTTCCACTTCTGTTATTGTGTCTACGGAATGGGACACACATCTGAGGTGAAAAGAGAGCGTGCAAAAGCCTAGCGAAAAATGTAGCGCCCCTACACTTCCCACCGGGTAAAAGAAGGCAGTAAGTGAACCTGGGTACAAGTATTCCAAAGAGGACAAAGCAACTGGACCTGAGAATAGGCTCGATGACCAGCCCACAGGCACAAGGACCAGACGAATCCAAAAGTGATCGCCAAACTTTGGGTGGTCACATAAACAAAGTACCGCAAAAATTTTTCAATCTTTTACAAAAGGGTCAATGATGGGGTGTTTATTTGGGACAAATTACCCACTGCAGCAACATTATTGCGAGCCATCCGGAAGCGGAACGTATTGGATTTACTCTCACAGCCCTAGCATATCCTTTCCATACAACACTGTACACACTTCCAGTTTCCTCGTTAGGCATTTAATATTGGTCACTGTTCCGATCCCCCTCCCTAGCCACGATAGCTGGCTAAAATAAGCATAGGATCATGATTTCCACCCCGAGACAGGCCGTACTTCTGGACCCAACTAAAGCAGCCAAAAGGCCAGTTCAGGCTAATGCCAAAATAACCGACAGACATCAGGTGTTCACATAAACAAGTACCACATTGCCTCTCGTTTCGTGTGATTTACGTTCTCGATCCCCTTCGTTACACCTTCCGCGCTAGCCATCACAAGGAGAAACTCACGAGCCAGCTGCGCCAGTCATCAGCTATCATTAGACTCAGGAACGGTACGTAGTCGCCTCAGCGGCTTCAACTGCATCAAGTGTTATATTTAGGCTGACAACCTGAATCGGGACCGCA